GGGACAATAACGATGGTAGTAGGGTGGCAACAACGATGAAAGTTGTGGTAGAGATGATAATGGTGGTGGGGTGGCAGTTGTGGCAAAGGTAGTGGTAGTGATGATGGTGGGACGGTTTCAAATATTATTATTTGTTTCAAAATACTTATGAGAAGTTATAGAGTACTTTTAAAAAGGCACCAAAACACTCTTAGGACTCTATTCATTAATAAATTTGAGGTGCTAATATTAGCGTTGAATTAACTTCAAAGTAATATTTAAAGAGATTTCAACCGTGAAAAACAAAAGTCATTTTGTTTATATTTTGAAATTTGAATTGTATTGTACTTTATTTTATACTAGTCATAATCCGTATTTGAAGGCACAATAAAACAAAAATTTTTAGTCCAAAAAAATTGATATGATTATATTAAATAATAATTTTTTTTTCATTTATTTGTTTAAATCATTCAAAATTTATTTTTACCCTTTGATTAAATCATTCAAAATTTATTTTTACCCATTATTTTCTTAAATATATTGACAAATTTTTTTCAAAATATATAATTCGATAATTTTTTTTAACAAATCTAGCATATATGGATAATATTTGAAATAAAAATTATGTTAAATTACAAATTAATCAAATATTAAATGGCTGAGCATGTGATAAAAATGAGTGATGTGGTGGTTTTTTTGGGGGGGGGGAATATATAGGGGATAAAATTAAACTTTCTATGTGTTTTATTATATAGATTTGTATAGATATAAGTGAAAATTTCATCCAGATCTCTTGTAATTAGGTCTAAATTCAATGACACTTCTTTATAATTTTGAAATTTCACTGTCACTCCATATTAGTGATTGTCGGGTTACACCGTTAATCGCAATGGTTGATTTATAAAAATATCTCCAAGTATTTTATAGGGTAAATTTTATCCACACCCCTTATAAAAAAGAGCAATACTATTGAAACATAATTTATGAACATAATGAGTTGTCACTAATGACATGATAATGAATTCATTAATACTACAATGAGACCCATCATTAAATACATTTTACTATCATTTTATTGGTCACAATTTATTATGTCCTCAAATTATGTCCTTCAATTATGTCACAATAGCATTAGTGAAAAAAACCTAATTCTAACGCCCCCTGTAAATAAACCTAACTTTAACAACACCCTTTCTTGATTTTGAAATTTCAATACACTCCTTTTTAGTTCTATTATATTAGCTTTTATTTTGATCAATTTAATATTCAATTTTATCAAATTAATTTTCTTTATTTAATTTAAACAAAATTAACATTTCATCTCATCAAATTAACACAAAATTAATATTTAATTTTATCAAATTAGCCTTTAGTTATATCAATTTAATATTTCATTTCATCAAATTAATATTATTTCTTTAATTTAATATTAAGGTATCATTTATTTTTATCAAATCAACATCAAATTGACATTCAATTTTATTAAATTAAACTATTTAATTTAAAATTTAACCTTATCAAATTAATGTCATTTCTTTAATTTAACACCAAATGAAGATTCAATTTTATTAAAACAACATTTAAATTTATTCAATTAACATTAAATTCAATCAAATTAATAATAAATTAATATTAAATTTTATCAAATTAAAATTAAAGTAATATTTAAATTTATCAAAATTAAGATCAAATTTATTCAATTAATATTAAATTTTATCAAATAATTTTAAATTTTATATATAAAGTATGATGTGTGAGAAGCGGTCACGCGACATTGTGGAGGATATATTATAGCAGAGGAATTAGAAATGGATGACATTGACTTTGACTTTGTTGATTGTAATTTTTATTATAGAAAAATTATTTTTAACTATAAAAATTAATATGATAAAAAAATATAAAAATTATAAAAACTTGATTATGTAACCAAATGAATGATAATATGATAACTAATATTGTAACAAAGTTATAATACAACGTTTTAAAATAAAAAATTTATTGAGATAATATAATGATTGAAATTATATTTGTTGGCCGACTAGCACATATATAGTGAAAAAATAATTGATGACATTTTAGTCTATTTACATAATAAGGGGTGCTTTTAGTATTTTCACAAAATATTTAGTGAAATCATTATTTTATTTACTGATAGAGACAAAAGTTATTGTTATAGGGGTTTTCATTGAATTTAAACTCAATTACATGGTGTTTAGATAAAACTTTTTCTAAATATAACATGTAGATATAATATGTCTTTGATCTTTGTACTATATATATGTACAATAAAGATGTGTGTGTGATATGTACAGTAAATATAGAGACCAATTGCATTAGGATAGAATTTTGGCGAGATATGTGTCTCAGTTTGGAAACAGAAAATATGAGAGTGTGAGAGACAATCAATGTCTCAGTATATAAAGTGATCCCTTAACATAAAAAATAAAATCAAAAAAATAATGATAAAGAGTTGTAATTTATATTTTAGGGAGAATGAGACAGAGTTGAGAAATGAGAGATCACTTAATTGCTAGATTTAATTGAGTTGGAGAATTAAATTTAGGGATGTTAATTTTGAAAATTAAAAGTTTTGAGCGGCAAATTTTTTTTCAAAGCTAATACTATACGTCAGATCGAAACGATCTGAGACGTCAATAGCTTGAGATAGTTTGAAATATCGTCGGCTGTTGGATGATGCTTTTTTTGATCTTGAAACGATCTAAACCACTCTTTGTCTCTGGAATTCAAAATCATTGTACTTTATTATATAGACTAGTTATTGTCTGTGCCGGAAGGTACAAAGTAATAAAAAATAGTAAACAATAAACATATTTGTATTCATATTCAAAATCAAATAACAAACATAAAAAATAGATAAATAAATTTCAATATCGATTTGTAGTGGAGGTGAGAAGTGGTGGGCGACAGTGGTGGTGGTAGGAAACGATGATAGTTTTGGTGGGTGACAATAACCATGGTAGGGGCGAGGGTGGTGGCAATGGTGGCGGTGATAGAGGTGGTGGTAGAGATGGCGGTGGGCGGGGGGGG